AAAAAGTATGGACACAGCGACGACAAAGAGAAAATGAACTAATATTGCCAATTTGTTCCCGAATTAAACCTGAGTAATGTCGAGAGCGATTTTTTTTCGTAATTTTGTTCTTTTTAAAGATTGCCAAATTTAGAAAACACCCCTGAAAATTTTTTAATAACCATTTTAAATAACTGATAAAATTTTTTTTTTTTTTAAAAAAAAAAATCGCTATAAATTTTATTCATATTATTATTTAGTTCCTAATATATTAATTTTACAACTTGGATAATGAAATTTTTTTAGTCTTATCATTTTGTCTCCGAGTCATATCTGAGTAAATTTTTTGTTTATACTAATATAATATAATGGTAAATTACCAATTTTAAAAAATTTATTACGCATGTTATGTTATATTTGCATGTGATTTCCCGATTAACTTACAATAAATGAAAAAATTAGGTTCAAAAAAAAAATTATGCAATGCGTTCCCTTATTATCTGCAGATAATAATTAAGTGACGAACTATTTATCCGATTCCGATAAGTATAATCTCTTTTTTGTAAAAAAGAAGTTGGTAATTTGTAATTAAGTATTATAACAAGTTAAATATTCGTTAACTTTTATTATACAGGTCCAAATATTTAATCATTATGCATGCGTAATTTCCATAAATTGTTATCATTCGTTTCCATGTTAGGCCTGATAAAGAAGGATTACATTTAAACTTAACTCAGATCTAATACAAACTTCAGATATGCTAAAAAAAAAAAAAAATTTTTTTTTTTTCGGAAGAGATCTATTTTATTTAGTAATTTAATTTGTTTGAATTTAACAGTTGACTTGAATGTTAAATGGAATCGATATTCCGAAAAAAAGTTACAAAATCTAATCAAAATGTAATCAAATTATCCAAATTTATCTTGTCAATCATTCACAGAGTCAGGTCTGAGTAGTTAGTGTTATCAATTTTTTTTTTTTTTACAGCAATTGAAAGAGTTTTTAAATGTTTTTTTTTTTATATTAGTGCTCCGCTTCTGATAACGGAAAAAACATCGTATGGTTACAGCAGGAGATGACTTTTTTATTTTTTAATATAACTCAATTAAATCCGGCTGATTGTAATTTGCCATATTTAGGGTTACCCCTGAAATTTTTTTTTTTTTTTATAAAATACAATTCAAACTATTTTGTTCCTGTAAATTCATTCTTTGAAGTTCCATTAGTTCCATTGAGAATATTTTATTAGTGTTACTTCGAATCAAAATAAATGTTATTCGATAATTTTCTTAAGAAAACCTTTACTTTCTATTTAAAGAATGAGTATTAACATTATCAAAATATATATATATTTTTTTTTTTAAAAAAAAAATTATGGTATAGTGCATTATTTTACTTTACCGTTGTTAATTCATAATTCAACCTATAAGGAACTTTGTCATAAAAAACAAAAGCGCCATAAGTTTAAATTTTTTTATGAAAAAAGGGAACCGAACATAAAAAAAAAGAAACCTTATATAAATTTTTTGAAAAAGAAATGGATAATCAATCAGTCATTTTAATTAAGTGAAGAATCAATCTCAGCGTGGAAAGAATTTTTATGTTAACTATATGAGAACATTTGCAAACAACTATATGAAGAACGGTTTTGGTCCTATCAGTTGATTGCGTTGATTGCGTTGGAAAAAGAAATAGTCTTCTTTTTCAAAATTCAAACAAAGATAATAATTTGCTTTATGCGTCAAAAAGAAGCGTTTAATTTATGTCATGGCTTACAAATAAATTTCTTGAAAGGAGACTTGAAGGGAGAGACGTCAGAGACGTGAAAAATAGCGAAAAAATCAACTGTCGTAAGAGAGGGTTTCTATTCGATTTTTTATGACTGCGGAATATAGCTTGAGTTAAATCAAGAACAAAAATCTTGAACTATTATATTTCTAAGTTATCAAAAATTCTCAGATCCTGATTTTATTACTAGGATCGAAATGAATTAACAAATTTATTATTGATGCTGCTCTACAAAGGAGGAGTAGACTAGAATCTTTCTAAATGCAGTCGACGTTTAATCTCAAGATATCATCATCATCTCTTTGTCTTTTCTGCTTCCTTTTACTGGTTTATTTCACCATATAAAATCTTTTCTCAAAAGACAATCACTGCGATAATAATTGCGGTTTGTAAAAATAATAGACAAGATAATGCCCGGATTTCGCCACCATGATCCTTCTGATTCTTCGATATTTAGTTTTTTCTTGTGATTTACCGAGTTCTTTTAGGTAAAGAAATTCGATTAATCCATGTGAAGTTTTTCCAAGAGACAGTGGTAACTTCGTCAATATTAATTATAAAAAGATGATTTAGAGAGATCACAAATTTCAGACATATTTCACTAATTATTATCAAAGATTTTTCAGGATCTTTATGCTAAAGATTATTCAAGAAACACCAACTCACTTTATGCACTCAATCAATACTCATTACAACATCAGTATTTTCGATACAGATGACTTCAATTAAGCGTATCATACTTTGATGTCACCGAAATTGAAATCAAAAGAAATAAGAATTCTTCTGATTGGGAGATACCAGTATTTGATTTGAGCAATTTCCAATTAATACAATTGGATTTTAACGTATATATTCAATCGAATATCGGATATATATACCTTGGATGTCTAATTAGGGGTCTATATGTCCGACTGGGCAATGGCCAATTTCTCGACATTATAATTTATCGATAATAGAAGACGAATCTAATTAGAGATTTAGATATCGTTGGACTAAAAAAGGTATTCTATATTTGCTAAATGCTAATTACTGATCAATATATGTAGAAAATCTCTAATTTTAAATTTATTAAAGTAAAGGGAACAGGTTTTTTCATATAAATTCTGTAAGATGTAAAAACCGATGTTTATGAACCAATTTTTCAAAAAATGGTAATCGTTGTATCAAGTTCAGCCGGAAATCTTATTGATCAAATCATCGATGAGAATAACGAGTATAATGATTGTAAAAATATTCCTAAAAGGGTAAGAATTCTCATTAAAATGTGATTTGAAATTCAAGTTGATATTAAATTAACGACTAATATATTTAATTTTATTAAATATATATTCAAATAATTCATCTCAAATGGATGTTACTTAGAGCATAGACAGTTTTTGTCATAATGTATTAAAGTTACCTTTACTATTTAGTTAAAAGCAATTTTGATAAATTCATCAACCAACTGTTCCATCGCTAACACTATCTAACACCCTTGCCATCTTTAAGGATCATCCAAAGTTTTGCACAGTGATCCATGACTCACACATATTTTCCTTTTTTTAAGTCTCAAGATGGATTGTCCCTCCAGTGCCAGTTCAAAGCCTACTTCTTCATCTGTACCCTTTGGTTTATAGTAATAATTAATCCTAAATGTTTTTTAATTGTAAGCAAAATACTGATTTGTCGTATATTGCTTATATATTTATATGGATGATAGGTTTTTAGATGAACTAGCATTTTGAAAATTATTTTAAAATATAACAATAAATTATACAATGAAGTTTTTAATGCTCTAAACTTTGAGGATATTGAAAAAGATCGCCCTGACACAGATGTCATTCGTGGTTTTATAATTTTTACGAGAAGACTCTGATATTTTATAGTACATCGTTGATCTGAAATGTTAAATGACAGGAAGTTTAGAATCTAAGGTTACAATTTTGAGTCAGATACATTATTATGATTAATGATGAGAATATTACTTCATTACCAATAAATTCAGCAACGTGAAACTTTATGTTTGGGAACTTACTTTAGGGTGGGAAGTAAGAAATCATATTACGGTATTAATTCCTACTAATTTACTAAGAAGGGTATAAAAAAAATATTATAAATGAAAGTAATCTTTACGAATGAGAATGAAATGTGTGATTTTCGGAGCAACAACGGATGGATTAGTATTTTTCAGGTGACACAGTGGTGATACGGACGTCTTTTTCTAATTGAAATTTTTTTTTAGAACAATTAATTTCTTTGCTCTTTGTTATTTTTAGCATTAGAAAGGATGGTCGTTACGTGATCGTTACAATAGGACCCGGACAATTATATAAAATATGGGATGTATATATATATATATATATTATATAATCTAAAATTATAAAATTATCATGAATCGCGCATTATAAGATCGGCATAAATAATTTAACTACTCAAATCTTATTTTGAAGATTCAAAGCAGTAAAATCAAATAATTATGAATTGCTATACAATAATCGACAAATAGGCTAATCTTCGTGTGACAAAAACCCAAACGTTTACATATCAGATTAGTAAAAAATTGGGATTTGAACAATACTAACAACAACAACACGTATTTACTACTGTATTAACTCCATAACATCATTGTTTTCAAACTCTTAGCTCAAAAAAATTTTTAAGATTTGGAAATTTTATTTAGTAGACACTTTAATAGGGATTTTTTCTTTATAAAGTCTATTAAGGATTTTAAAATCTATTTTAAGAATTTTTTTCTTTAAGTCCGTTATGATATTTTTTTTTTTAAAGGATTTAAATGTTGTGGAAAAAGAAAAAGAAAAAGAAAAAAAAAAGGATTTAGATTTCATGCAGTCATTGTGGAAATCTTTTTCAATTGAGGACAAACTAATTATATAAATATATATAAATACAAATATATATGTACTATAAAAAAAAAATGATTTTACTATCGTGGCACAAAGGATCATTTTTTTCAAACTAATTACACCAGAATTAAAGACACCCTCAGCCTATAACTGACCAAATAAGGAAACTCATTGTTTGATGATGGGACGCTCATCAGCACATTGCATTTCTTTCTCCGATCTACTTTCAATTTTCCAATTAAGGATCATCAGACTTAGTACCAGAATTGAAGACCTCAATTTTAATTATTTATATTGTAATTGTATCACACGCATTTTAAATTTTTAATTATAAATACTCTGCAAAAACTTTAAAAGTTTGAAAAGTTTTCACCTTCAAATATTTTATTCTAAGATTTCATTAGTTCTTAGTTCTTTTTAAAGATATATATATCAAAAAGAACCGCTTTTTGTTTAATTCTTTGCCCGAAGAAGCTGAAATAAAATAAACTTTAAATAAATTATTTGGAGAGGGCACTTTTAACTTCCTTCAGAAATTTTATAAAGGTTTTTACGATGGCTCATAAAATTATTGATGATGGAATTATTCATCTACAACAACCGACAAATGTGATCCAAACGGAACATACTCAAATGGAACATAACCAAACGGAACATACACCAAATGTTTCATACAATAATAACCTAGACACTTTCCGCGACTTTTCAGAAACGATGACAACTTATACAACTAACGAAGAGTTTTCTTTTACGGATAATCAACTTGGCACTTCAACTCAATATTACCAACCTACGTTCACCACTTCATATTACGCGCCGCAGCATAACTCTCCACTTGATAATATTCAATTCCAAAATAATTTCACTTCACTTAATTCTCCTCAAATGGATAATTCTGAGATCTTTAAGCTTAACATTCCCGGTTTCAAAATTATCGTTATACCTAATTCTGTAAATTTGGCTAATTTGGACTTACAAAATCTTTTTCAACAAGACCCGAACTCAAATGTTGTTAATGTTACCGAAAACCCGCAAACCGACTTTCAAAATACTTTTGATTATTTAAATGATTCATTTGATTTTAATAAATTTAGTGACTAAACAACATCCTTTTCTTTTTATCTAATTTATATTATTATTTTTATTTCTTGTAGTATACTCTTTAAATATTTATTATGTATTCCTTTCATTATTTTGTTTAAATAAAGTTATATTTTGGTATTATCTTAAATGGATCAATTATTAAGTTGCTACAAATGCATTATATATTTATTTCATACATTCTTGTGGATTTGGTTCCCAACTAATATAAATTTTTTTTCACTCTCCAACATATTATAATTCTTCAAATGTTATATCAGAGGAAGGTGAAACTGAAAGAATCAGACAGTGAAGCGCGTTGTTATATGAACTCACTTACCCTTGGGCAATAATTCGATAAATTCCGTGATATAAGGTTGGGCTTTGGTTTTTCCTACATTTTCGGCTACATTAATTCCGGAAATATGAGCCTTTTACGGAAAAGGATCGTCTTTTTTTACAGGGTTAATGTTGACAGTGAAACAGAGATCCTCAATTATTTCAGAAAACATAGCCGAGAATTTGGGGATATAGATAGACAAAAATAGCTCTCACAAAATTACCGTTTGACAAAAATAAAAGGAAAGCATAATATTCAGTTAAAGAGAAAAGAAGATTGTATCCAAATTTCTTCTCAGTAGGTATATCCATAATTACACAATACGCGTGAAAGGCACATAATTTATGCAAAAAATCCACAAAGAATTTGAAAAAATCCTGATGGCAAATACAGAAAAATGGGGTATAATACGTATAATACTGGAAATAGTCTGCACTTTTTTTCAATAGATTTCTGAATTTTAATAAAACTTTGTGGTCTCTTTTCAAACCAATAGATACTGAAAAAAAAACTCCTAGAATGATGTCGTTCTGAGACTCCGAACCTTTACTAATAACTCTAACTTTTTTTTTTAAAACTCAGTTCAAAAAAATCTTTTACTCAGTATTGGGAAATTTCATTTAGTAGAAAATTTTAATAAGGAGTTTTTTTAATAAAGTCTACAAGAATTTTTTCTGAGACCGTGATTTTTTTTTAAAATAACCGAATTTAAGCATTTAACGTCTTTAATTTGAATTTGAAATTCGTATTATTACTCTATTCCGGTTGCAACTCAAATTATTTTTTATCTGTATATACTCTATACCACTTTAAAAATCACAAAATTTACTTATAAAAAATCCTTACCCTATTTTTTCATTTACTTCATTTTACCCACATTTTTCCGGACTTCAAAAATCTTCAATTTTAATTATGTTGTATAACACACATTTTTACGCTATTTATAAAAAAAATAACGAAAAAATTTTATTTGTATTTTTTTTTCGGTTTCTATTCTTCTTAGTTCTTCTTAAAGATATATACGATATTCAAGATGTAATATCTAGTATACATCAAAAAGAACCGTTTTTTGTTCAATTCTCGCTCGAAGGAAAATAAAATAAACTTTAAAATAAATTATTTGGAGAGAGCACTTTTAACTTACTTCTGAAAACTGTGATAAACGATTTAAATGAGACTATGAACCAGTTAAATTACACAGACTCGGGCGAAAATATTGGCACCTTTAGAGATCACATAAATTATTTGTTAATACGAAAAGTGGAACAAAGGTTAGGCAAGGAGTGGCAAGAGTGGCAAGAGTGAATGGTCTGAAGCAAAATGCTTTAACGTTAATAGTGAGTTATTTCATTTAAACGAGGGACATATGTTTCACCAAAGTGAGATATTTTTTCATTTTAACGAAACAGTATATTGTCTGTAGATTAATTTATCCGATAGAAAAAATGCGAAATCATATCTTTAGATTTTAGAATATGAAAAAGATTGTTGCGCATTCAATATTGATCAGTTTTGCATCGATTAATAGGAAAAATATCGTGCACTTTCGCACAATCAGTGTATTATACAATAAAAATTTAGCTTTTATTTTACTCTAAAAAGAAATAAATGTGAACGTTCGTGAAAATTTCAAGATAAAAAAAAAATAATAATAAATACTCTATTTGAACAGGAGGAGTTGTTATAATGACAACGAAATATCAAAGAAAAATAATCTAATTTTGTTGATAAATCTTGTTTAAATCAATTTGACAGGAATGTACAAACTTCGTTTTTTTACTTTCTTCTCTTTCATAAGGAACAATAGATGCGTTATTGTTTTTAGAATCAATACTATTAAGTTCTGAATTTACTTGAGAAATATTTGGTCGTTCATCTGGTTCGTGTTTCCAACATTCTATTCAAATAGATTAAAATTAGATTGCGACAAGAAAAATAAATTGTATAATTACCAAAAAGGATTAATTGCGAAGTAATAAATTTTATACTTACTTTGATAAAGTTCAATAAATTTAACATTCGTGTCCAAAACAGGTTCTTCTCTCTTACCACTTAGTATTTTATTTGTAATATGATCATTTTCAAGACCATCAAAAGATGGCTTGCGACTAGTTAACTCCCAGAATAAAAATCCCAAATTATATATATCAGATTTTTCGTTGATCTTATATGGAATGTTTCGATTAAGTGCTTTAGGGTCCACATAAGGCATTATACCCCATACTTCAGTATTATAACAATCTGTTCCTTTTAGAGATGAACGGCCGAAATCTGCCAATTTAATCGTATTTTGATGAATTAAGACATTATTGGGATGCTAAAAGGAGAAAGGGGAATATGTTAATTTTACAATATAATGAATTAGTTTAGATTAATAAATTATAACCAATATTAGCATACTCACAAGATCCTGGTGTACGATTCCCTTATCATCATGTAACCATAAAATCGCACTTGCAATCTCCTTGGCAAATTTTAATTGTTCCTTCCATTTAAAAGTTATAGCATCATTCCTTAAATAATCTCTTAGTGTTCCATCATCCGCACTTTCAAGAACAAGTGAATATTTATTTTCGTCTAAACAATTAAACAATAAGTAAATAAAAATGATAAAAATGTCAAACATCAATTATATAATTATTATTTTACATTGCAATTTTGTAATTCCATAAAATCGAATGATATTTGGATGGTGAGAAGCTATTTTCATAATCTTAATCTTGAAAAAAAATTTATAAGTACCATATCAAAAAAAGATGTAAACAAAAAACCATTTCAGTAACGTACTTCGTTATTGATTTCTTCTTCCTTAGAAGTTTCTTTAAATTTTTTAATCGCATACTTTACTGATGTATTCTTCCAATATGCAACATAAACAGAAGAGAATCCTCCAGAACCGATAGCTTCCGGGAGAATCTTAAGATCTTGAAGACCATAGAAATATATCTCTAGCTCGTGATGTGACTAATGACGTCATGTTGGTGTTTGTGTTCATGTTATGCATAATTGGGGGTTTTTTTTCCGCATCACGGTAATTTGGCGTTTTTGGGAAGTTGTTTTTTTCGAATCACGGTAATTTTTTAGATTAGTAAATTTGTTCTGCGCAGTAAAAAAAAACCATAAATATCGGACTTCTTCCTTGGGTTTCGTGGCGCAGTTTTTAAGATTGTTTTGAAGAAAAAAATAAAGAATTTTTAACGTTTTTTATGTGAAATCGGGAGTTGGTGAAATAAAAAATAGTTTTCAAAATGCCGTTAAGCAATAACTTAATCAATTGGAATTTGGAACGTCGAGTTAAACTGTAATAAATAAACAGTAAGTTTTTGGATCTTTAACTTAATAGACCATAATGAAAGAAATGAGCGAAAGGTGAAAAATATTGTAATCTCGAGTCCTATTTATACAAATATACTCATGTAACCAATGTAGTGCAAAGATGAATATGTAACGTACAACTTGCATAATAATACATTCTCCTTAAATATATGTTACACACATTACTAAACAGTGACGCAAATGTATCGTTCTTATACGATCAGGTGCTATGTTCTTATACGACGTATATGTCACATAATATAGGTCGTATAAGATAGTATGTCGTACACGTATAAGAACGATACATTTGCAGCAGAGGCAGTTAAAGTAAAAGAGATGAGCAATCTCAGCAATTCAGACCACCTTACGCCAGTAGTTTTTACAAAGCGATTCCTTGCAGCATTTGAATTGCAGCGACGCCATCCAAGGGCATTCTCGCGAAATTGTGCCGAATCTCGATTGATGAACCATTCGCTCATATTATCCATTCCAGCGAAATTATGTTTATGATTTTCGTAATTGACTGCTATTGTCGATTTATTATGATTGTAGTTTCCTTTTTTTTAAAAAAAACTTATCAAAATAATATTTTAGGCGACACAAAGTGGTAAAAATGGTTTTCATAGTCCGGNAAAAAAAAAAGAACCGATTTTTGATAAGCCAATTTTTTTTTACTAAATTTATTATATCTATTATATACCTGTCTCTTATACACATCTAGATGTGTATAAGAGACAGATTATATACTGTAAGTATTTTTAAACACTAAGATAATAAAGTCAGTAAAGTTAAATACTAAATTGTTCTTTTATATTTGAAGAATTTCGATCGAAAGTAGGTTTGCCAATTAATTTAAGTTTTGTCATAAAAAGATTTTGCTGCATATTCAGATTATAATTATAAGCGAAAGGAAGCGAAAGTATAGTTAATCTCATATTTAGTGAAAGGCGGATCCACTAAAAAATTGATTTGTGAATGGATCATTTGTAATTTGTATCGGTAATCGTATAAACCGTTTAGGTATAAATGTTTTATATCTAAAATGTCGTTGTCTCCGAATAATACGATCAACGTAAGATGATGAGACGATAGTAGGATTGTAACGAGTTGTAGTATCAGGTTGATTATCAAAAGAATTGTTTAAAGCATTTAAAGCATTTGACGAAATTTGAGCTTGTGAATGATTCATTTTAAAAAATATAGGAATAAAATTTAAAAATATAATAGATAACTTTTAAAAAAGTTGAATTCTTAATAATTATTATTTTTTAAAAAAGAAAATTATAATAATTATAAGTATATATCATGTCTTAAATAAGCGTATTTCTTTTTTTTTGTTCTTTCAAAATAATTTCTCCATAAAGGAAAGTATCTTAACTAATGAAAATTATAGAAGAAAATTAATTGAAGGAAATTATTTAAAGAAAAAAAAGAAAATAAAGAGTATTTTCAAATAATTCGCTAAAGCGACTTTTTATAATTTTTTTTTTATTATTATTTAAGCATAATTTCCCAATATATTAAATTTCAGACAATTATTTTTTATTTTTATTTTTATTTTTATTTTTATTTTTATTTTTATTTTATTTTATTTTATTATTTTATTTTATTTTATTATTTTATTTTATTTTATTATTTTATTTTATTTTAGCCATTATTCCGAGTCATATCTGAGTAAAATCAACAAACTTAGATCGAATATCATTTTCTGTTTATGGTAAGTTACCAAATTCACTAAAGAGAATCAAATTTTATTTATTTTATTTTAAATTATTTTAAAAAATTATTTATGTCAAATGTCAAATATGTCAAATACAAATGCATATATCGCGTGAGGCTTAATTGTCACACAATAATTGCCCCCAATAATTGCACCAATAACAATGATTGAATAGTCAACCCCTTTTTTAAGGTGTGACTATATAGAGGGTCAATTGCAGTTTATGCATACCGGTAATATAATCTCAAACATGACAACGTTTACAAAAAATTTTTCTATAATCAAAATTTTCTCTTAAAATAATTTCCTTTAGTAAAAAAAAAAAAAAAAAGTTTTTTTAATTTAATAAAGGAGCCAAACATCCTTGGATTACTAAATTTAGATGTAACTTAGTAACACCAATCAAGTACGAAAAAAATTAATGTCACAATGAATTATTTTATTATAATTTGAATAGTTGATTTACTTAAATGAAATTTTTTCGTTCCGAAAAAAGGGGATTGATTAATATTCAAAAAAAAATTCTTTATATGCATTCCTTTTTTGTTATCTACTTATGATGATAAACAGAGGGATCACAGCAGAGGCAGGTATAATAAAGAAACGAACTATTATTATCAACTTGTTTCCAATTCACATAATTATAATTTCCTTTTTAAAAAAGTCTTTTAAAATAATATGGATTATAATTAGTAATTGAATTTTATAACTATTAAATAAAATCGATAACGGCTCAAAAATTAAATCATCATGCATATAAAACATGCAAGATAAGCGCAATTTCTAGACCTGTTATTTATCATTAGTAAAAAAGACAACATCTAAATTTTACTCAGATCCAATTCGGAATTATACAAAATAATTAATAAATTAATAATTTTTTTTCGGATGTTTACACCGAATGTTAAATGGAATGACATTACTAAATTTAGAGTAAACTAAATCAAACTATTTAAGCCATTATGCAACAAATATATTCCCGAGTCAGAACTGAGTTAGGTTTAGGATTTTATTAAAATCCGGTTTTTGAAAATTTTTTAAATTTTTTGATTGATGTGAAATTTTTCCCCACCCTTTTTTTTATGCAAAATCATCAATCAATCGTATAACAAATCAAGTATTACCATATGATACGATAATACACAGTAAATATTTATATTATCGTTACTTTTATCATCCGCTTCTGAAAATGAAAAAAAAAAAAATTATTATGCAAAAAAAAAAATGAAATGTCATTATCAATTCAATTCGTTCCCGAATTAGATCCGAAAGCGTTTTTTTTAAAAAAAAAATTATAATCCGGATGACTATAATTTGTTCTTGAAAATTACCAAATTTAGAAAATATCCCTGACATTTTTTTTTATAAACCAATTATATGTGTATATATTTTTTTTATTTATTTCTTATCATTTGTTCCATCCCGAGTCATATCTAAGTAAAATCTTTTTTATACTAAATAAAATGGGCAATTTGTTGCTCCGTGCTCCCGTTAAACGATTGAAAGAAAAATTTAAAATACCAAATTTAGCGACGGAAAAAAAAAAAATTTATAAAAAAATTTATTATCAATCGTTACGCATAGGTGGTATAGCCAATCATGGTTTTACACATTTTTTTTTTTTTAAAAAAAAAAAATTGATTGACTGATTGAAAGCCCGTTTGAATTACTTAATTTAGTAAATCATAAACTCCGATTTTAACTTAAATAGAATTCGTTGTTCCAAAAGGAAAATAAAATTGAATTAAAGTTTCATAAAAAAATTTTTCATTATGCATTCTTTTTATTATCTGCTTATTATTGTAAAAGATAATGAAAAAATTGATTATTTAAATTACATTAATTATATTTGAAAAAGGATCACAACAAAGGCAGTTACAATAAAAGAGATGGCTGCTATTGTCGATTCGGATGATTGTAATTTCCTTTTTTTAAAAAAAAATTATTAAAATAATATGATTGTAATTTGTAATTTAACTTTTATAACTATTAAATGAAAAATTGATATTCCTGGTATAACTTAATTTAGAAATAATAAATGAAGCAATTATTAAAAGGCTCAAGAATTTCAAGTAAAAAACCTGAGTGAATACAATTTCTGAAAGTGAGAATCAGACTCATTCTATGTGAGAAAATCCTGAACCATCCTGATTGACAATTTGTTGTGGTTTAACTAAATGTTAAATAGAATCAACGTTCCAAAAAAAAAGAATTGCCAAATTTAGAATAAACAAAAAGAAATTTTTAAATTTTTAATCAAATCATATGCATCAATTTGGGTACCGTGCCAATCATATATCCCGAGTCAGTCCTGAGTAAAGTTTCCAGTTTGATTGTGTTTTTATGTATAAATTATCGTTTCTTTTACATCATCTAATGAAAAAAAAGTATGGGGAACTGATATCATCATCAATATTTAGATTTGAGATGCATAATTTAAAAAAAAAAACGTGTTTGAAAAATTTAAAATTTGGAAATACCTCTGAAAATTTTTTTTTTTATAAACATACTGTAAATAATATAAATAAATAAATATATTTTAAAAAAAAAAATCATTATAAAATTTTTTCATTACTGAGTAAAATTTTTTTATACTAATATAATTTAGCAACGGAAAAAAAAATTTCAAAAAAACTTTATTACCAACGAAATTTTTTTTTTTTTTTAAGAAAAAAAAAAATGATTGGAACTTGGAATGCAATTGATTTGCATAACTTAGTAACACCATGTGATTCCCGATTAAACGGAATTCTTTGTACCAAAAAATTTTAATCTAACTATTATCCGATTCCGATAAGTTATGATTTCCTTTTTTAAATAATTTATTAAAATATTAGTGATTTGTAATTAAGTTTTATAACAACCAAAATTTTAATCACTTATGCATACTAAACATATAAGATAAAGCGCAATTTCAGGCCAGAGCAATACAATATAACGGGATATGTTAAAAACCTTTTTTTTCCGATGAAATATATTTTATATAAAAAACCTTGAATCATCCCAATTAGTATTTAAAAGG